CAGTCCAGTTGTGGCTGCGATGATAAGCGTCACCAGTAATGGATGATTGACTTGTAAGAGCCATAACAGTGTTTCCAAGTAACCGTTTTCAATTATACGCCTGACAATGCAGCGGTGCATTGTTTGAGACACAATAGAGCAGCTCCCACTCGATGAGTCCTGCAGACTATAGAGAGAAATGTGCAATAACTTTTGGCAAAGCGATGAAAAGACAACCGTTGGCTTGTTGGAGCCATCATGAACGCGGCAACGTTACTCACATTAGGGGAGGTTAAACCTCAGTTTTGTGTGTTTGTGTGTGCGTGTTGCTGCTGCAATTTAAACTTTGTGCCTGTCATCAGTGAAAGTCCTGCAGTGTGAGGGCGCGCCTGTATGACTGAGCATCATTAAGCATGAATACGGAGGAGGAGGAGGAGGAGGAGGAGGAGGAGGAGGAGGGCGAGGGAGTCAGGGCTGACGATCACAGAGGGGAAGTGCCGACTGCAGACCTCTGGGGGATAAGAAGCAGCAAAAAACAGGAGATTATTAAAAATAATAAGGCCCTCCTCTGCCTTGCTCTAATGACGCAGTCACAGTACGACTCTGGCAGCGGAAATACTCAAGCTGACGAGGGACCTCAACTCATCTACTTTTGTTTACTGTTGTCTGGAAATGAGAAGGAAATGATCAGTTCTGGTGTGGGAGGCACAGATCGCAGGACAAGAGAGGACGGCGAGATCAGAAAAGCTCCAGAGGGTCAATTAGCCTCAGATACTGTACACATAGTTAAACTAAATGAAAGCAACCCTCCATCAGTGTGTCCAACCTCCTTAAATTCCATTAGCTGCAACGAGCGAATCAAAGCCCAGCTGTGGGCCTTAAATTAAGACGAGACTCTATTAACAGATTGCACTGTCTACACCGTCAGGCCTGGAAAGTGGGTAGAGCCAATAATGATCCTGAATCTGATGACTTGGCAGTCAAGCTGACACAAACTGCTTCCCTCCAATCCACTTTAGAGCACAAACACAAATCTCCATTCCACTAAGTGGGGCCAATAAACACAATTTAGCGCAAAGGGGGAGATTAATCTGTGGCTGTGTGGACGTTAACAAGCATCGGACGAGTGTTAAATACACTCTGCACCTCAGCAGAGAGAAGCAGCTGAATCAAAGAGGGCCAAGTAGAAGAAAATTTTTTTTTAAATCCCTGCATTTAACAGAGGCTGTTTAAAAGGTGCAGAAGCTGCTCTTTGTGTGATTCCAGTGAGTGATGCACTCTCAGGGTGGAAGGCCTTGAAAACATGAGCAGTGGTGCCCTCTAGTATTCAAAAGAGTGACACACAAAAATATGAAGCTCTGGATGACACACTATAAGAGTGCAGAGTGGGGTCGGCACAGTGTTATAGACCTCCAAACTTCATGTCGCCTTGAGATTAACTCAAGAACAGTGGATAGAGAGCTTGACTGAATGGGTTTCTATGCCATGATGATTTACGGCTTCTATATATCCAAGCCTTACATTGGAGAGCAGTGAAGATGTTTTCTCCCAACTTTATGGGAACAGTTTGGGGATGGAGTCTTCCTGTTACAACATGACTGCACACCAGTGCACAACGCAAGGTCCATAAAGACATGGAGGAGAGATTTTGGTGTGGATGAACTTGACCTCAACCCAACAGAACACCTATGGGATGAACTAGAGTGGAGACTGTGAGCCAGGCCTTCTCGTCCAACATCAGTATCTGACCTCACAAATGTGCTTCTGAAGGAACGCTCCATAACTCCCATAAACATTGAACCTGTGGAAAGACTTCCATGCAGGAAGACTTGTAGCGTGTGTTATAAATGCATTGCAGGAAATACCACCGAAGCAGGACAAAAACAGACTATTAATACAAATGTAGGGCATTTTGGACATTAGGCAGTGCGCTTCAGTTGTGGGATTATCTCCCACATGCCTGTTTAACCTTGCAAAAAGGTATTTTTCTTTTCCTTTGCATTCTAAATTAAAACCTCTTTAACACCATTTAAATACTATTTACCCCGTTGGTACAGTTCTGTTGTTTCACAATGATGCAGAAATGCTGTTTTTCCCTCAGTAGGAGAAAACACGCCTCTGCTGTTTTATTTTATTTGATGTAGGGAGGAAGTCCTTCTTCAATAACGGCTTCTGCTCTGCTGCCACTGACAGAGATGAAACAAAGTGCTTCAGCCACAGTTCTTGATAGAGATTTTTCATTAAGCAGCCAGACTCCACAGGAACGAGAAGAGGACGGTTTCTATCAGAGGCTGCAGAGCCAAGGGCCTTTATGGGAGACTATGTGGTGAAGAGACTCTTGTGTGAGTGATGAGTCTGCCTGAGGACAAAGGGCCGATGTTCTCGGGACATAGGATTGGCTTTAATGTGGGAAGGTGCTCGAGAGACAGAATCAAGCCCTAAAGCTCATTCCTGCTCATATATCGTCTTTATCAGCGGGCCTCCGGTGGAGGGCTGGCACCAATTCGTCTGGCTTCTGATGGGACCTAAATCACTGATATTATCTGGTGGAGTCAACAGAGGCAGACGAGGTCGCTTTCTATTTTTGATATGGGGAAAACCTGCAAAGACAGACAGCATAAAGAATAAACGCTGGATACTTTTAACACCGCAAATGTTTGAAGTCTACGTTAAAATCGAGCTTGCACAGAAAGTACAGGTCGTTACAGAACAGGTCTGCTGCTCTTTGCAGTTACATTATACATGTTTATACACCACACGCTACAGCAGCATGAGGACGATAATAAGACAAATATTAATGATAATAATTCAATTCAATTCATGCTGTTATTATTCATATTAATGGTGATGATATTGTTCTTTTTTTTTATTATTATTTCAATTTGCAAACTCAAAGTGAAAAAAGAAAGATGCTGCATACATTTTATGTCAGCAACATATCCATCTTCTAGTAATATTATTGATTATTGTTCGACTTATTCATATATATTTATATATATTAGGTTTTATTTTGGAAACAGTGGACCGCATCTTGACAACGTGGTGAATGGTGGTGCACAACCTCTGGGATACATTCTCCTCCATTTAGTACTTCGTGGTTATAGCACATACAACAATGCTGCAGGGAGGACAATAAAACAAACCAAAAAAATCCCAGACGGTTCTTTTTCACAGCTCTGTCCACACAGCATAATATTTCAGAGGCCACCAAGTGGATTCTGATTCAATGTGTTAAAACTGAAAGAAAATAAAAGGGAAAATGTGCAAAAATAACAGAAATAAAGATTTAAACTTTAGAGCATTTAACATGACAAACTAATTGTTATGAAAAATTATGAAACATTACCAAAAAGAGAGGGAATATTTATATTATATACACATATATAAATATCATTTTGGTTATAACAGACTTTTGAACCTTGCATTGTTTTTTGGCCACACGGGGGTGCTATAGCATTTATTTACCTGATTATTAAGAAACAGTCATATCAAAGCATTATTCAAGCTTTAAATTCACATTTGTTTTTATTACATTTAGTTGGCTAAAAAAAATGCCAATTTTAATGGCATTTCAAAATAATTATTTTACATCAGAGAGTCTATAATGTTTTTATGCTTTAAATCCCTGTTTGCTGGATTTAACTTTGCATATGACCACCCAGCCTGATGTTCATGCAGACATGGTCAAGGTGACCTGCTGAAGATAACACTGAGCATCAGAATGAGGAAGAAAGGTGATTTAAGTGACTCTATATGTAGCATGGTTGTGACAGATGGGATACAGCAGCTGAGCATCGTTTAAACACCACAGCCTACCTGAGTATATTTACTGACCATGTCCATCCCTTTATGACCACAGTGCACCATCTTCTGATCATCTTCATCATCTCAAACTGTTTATTTTAATACAACAAATGAGATCACTGCACTCAAATATTTCCATTTCTGGCTCTGTGTGATTCTTTTTTAAAAACAGACATCCATAACATGGTCATCTGTGGCATACAGCTCTGTTTGTGAGCACAGATGTCCTGCACACTTGATGTTTAAACCTTCCATTTGAGAGGGCAGCCAACAAGAAGAAAGTTGTCTGAAAGGAAGAGGAGCGGAAATACCTGAGTGGCTCCACTAAGGCTGAGCATCAGATAAATAAGGATTATTTTGAACTGTTAATCATGCAAAGCTCTTCTAGTAGAGTCTAAAATTAAAATATGGAGCTGGAAAGTTGTTGAACACCAAACTAATCATCAGTTACATTTATTGTTATTTTACTAACAGTACTTATATATGTCGCATGATTATTTTTCACACTGTGGTGACACTTTCCCACTTTAAATGTTGGGTGCAGGTTTATTTACATTTTGCTCTCAGCTGTGAACATTGTCGTGTCTGGACTGCACTTACGCCATGATGCTGGATAAGGGAAACAGCTCAGCCACTAAGTACGAAAGGTAGCTGAATATGAAGACAAAGAGGGGCTCAATCAGGCGGATGCTGTGGGTGAAACGTGACGACCGCAGCCACTAATCCAAACAGAAGGCCAAATAAGACCCCGCCCTTTGTGTGATTGCAGCCAATCCCCAACTCTCTGTGAATCGTACTCATGGCCCTTGATCAGTGGTCTTTGATCAGTGGTGGTTAATCAATGGTCATGAGAATTTGCATATTAATGATCAAGGAACTGACCTCCCAGCCCATTCGTTCAGTCAGTGGTGCTGGTTTAAGTCATTATGCAAATGTACTGTTTATAAGGTTGGAAACCTGCAGGCAGCTGAGACTGAAGAAGTCACTTGGATGAGCGACGAAACATTTCTCTCACTGAAAACGCTACGTCCAGATGAACAGAATCAACTTTTTGTGATTTACTTACCTGGATGATTGAGCATGCATCAAGAAGATATTCATGTTGTCTTACTATTCATATTTTATTCCAGCACAGTTGGTGTGGATCACCGACAAGTTCAACGACAATAAGGGGCTATTCAACTGTTGTTCTGTTTTTCTACTGTTGCAGTTGGAGTCTCCGTCCACTTGGGGCCACAGTTGCCCGTCTGAACCTGCTGACTCTGCACTAGAAGAAATTCCACCGCACCCGGAAGCGCTCTCCGTTCGGCTGCTATTCTGCTATTCATTCAGGCTGCAGCGATTTCATTCAGCCGTTGTTGATCTCTCCGCTTGTGTCGGGCGCCTCATTTACTTCTCCGTGGACAGATTGAAGGAGAGCGAGCATGGCTGGTCGGCTACCGGCTTGTGTTGTTGACTGCGGTACGGGGTGAGTAGGAGCACAATAAAAGGCTAGTTAGCGTTAGCTTGCTTTTCATTGACCACCTAAGCGACTGTCAAACTTCAGCTAACGCCCTATTCAGCCTTCAGGCTGGGGGCTTTTGCTCAGCGCCTCTCTGTTATTCTGAGTTCGTCGGTGAAGTCGGCGTTAATGCCACAAATCCAGCCAAAGTTTCCAGCTGCTTTATTTTGAAGGCTTTTTGTTCTTCCCTCAGCTTTGTCATTGCTGTTAGCTGCTGCTAGCCGCTGAAGCTAATGTTACTTCCTGGAGAAAGCAGCCCTCATATTACACACTTACGTTCGCTCAAGCCTGGAGAAAGTGTCTTATATCCCTGATTGTGTTCCCTTTTAGGTACACGAAGCTCGGATATGCAGGAAACACAGAGCCACAGTTCATCATGCCTTCATGTAAGTAAACAGACCCCCCCCCGCCCCTCAAAAAAACAGAACAAAAAACAAAACCACTAAAGACCTAAAACTAGTTTAAACACAAGGCAATGTCGAACATGTGGATTTATTTACGTGCTGGGATGCTGTTAGAGAGCATATTTATTATTAAACTGCATTATTCGTTAAGTTGCATAAACACCAACAGTTTAGTGTGGATTGCCTCTGTGTGGTTTAATGCAGGTTAACAGTTTCAGGCCGACTTCCTTTCACCCTAGAGATGTACCAGAGCAGTTAGACTGGTTTCCGTAAGGCTGGTATCATATTGGAACAATATTTTCTTATCAACTCACGCACAGCAGGTTTTTCCTGGCTCATAATGTAAATTCTAGTAGGGAGGGACTGTGGTTGTAAGCATGATTGGTCTGCATATATTTAAGGGAGTGGGTTAGACGTACCTCACAGATCACAAGTTGGACAAAGGATGTTTAATACCAAGACCTCAGAGCACATCCATGGATGCGGTGAAGGAGAACATGCAGCTGATCTGCTGTGGTGACCTCATGAGTGTGCGACGCCATCAAACTCTGAGCAACTATTTAGACAGGAAACAGCTGTCCTGTTTCCACTCGTGTGACTGAGTGTCTAAAATATCTTTGCCAAGCTAATTGTGTCCAGTGTTGGATGATTTTTTTTGTTTTTTTCTTGAGCCGATTGAATCTAAGTTCGCTCGACTAATGTTATCTCAGGATGTAAGTGCATGATCAATCCTGTTGTTCATAGTTATTTAATAAAATATATTTGGTACTGTGCTGTACCAAATTTTTGTTTTTCTTCCACCCGTAGTATTTACAGTTTACATCGTTTGTCTGCAGGTATTGCGATCAAAGAATCGGCCAAGGTCGGAGACCAGGCCCAGCGCAGGATGATGAAGGGAGTCGATGATTTGGATTTTTTCATCGGGGACGAAGCCATCGATAAACCGTCGTATGCAACAAAGGTGAGATAGACGTCGACGTGGGGGCCGAGTCAGATTTGTGTTTGAGGATCGATATTAATGCTGATTTTCTCTCTTTGCGTCCACAGTGGCCCATCCGTCACGGGATTGTGGAAGACTGGGACCTGATGGAAAGGTTTATGGAGCAGATCATCTTCAAGTATCTGCGGGCAGAACCTGAAGATCATTACTTCCTTTTGGTAAGACCAGAGCACTGTGGGTTAATGGTAGTTAGAGCTAAGCAGCAGGCAGGGCCCTTCCTCTGTTTTTTCTTGTCTACACCAAACACAAACTTCTGCTAACTGTAGCCTAGAGGGCAAAACACAGATGTTCTCAAAAGTATATTTGCAGGATCAAATTGTCTCAGTGTTGTGAAACTGGTGCGACCTAAATAATATAATAATTCCTCTTGTTCCTATTGGTCGTTTACCATTACATGTCATTACATTACAGTTGAGTCCCTCCGGGTGTGGTTGTTATAGTGACACGGCTTGAAGTACTGTGACGTCATTTGTATGCGACACAATCACAAATCACAACAAAAATCGCCTCAAAGCACTTCATATTGTAAGCTAGATCCTACAGTAATAGAACAGAGTAAACCCCTACAATCATATAACCCTGTGAGGAAACACTTTGGCGACAGTAAAAAGGAAGGAAAAGCTCATTTTTAACAGGAAGAAACCTCCAGCAGAATCAGGCTCAGGGATGTGCAGCCAGCTGCTGTGACTGGTTGAGGGTGACGGAGGAAGGTGGGACAAAAGACATGCTGTGGGAGAGAGCCAAAGAATAACAATAACTAATGATTAAATGCAGAGAGGTCTATTAACACATAGTGAGAAAGCTTCCCCAGCAGCCTACACCTACTGCAGCATAACTAAGGGAGGATTCATGGTCACCTGGTCCAGCCCTAACTATATGCTTCAGCAAAAAGGAAAGTTTTAAGCCTAATCTTAAAAGTAGAGAT